AAACAGAGTTTTTAAGGAGAATTGGTTTTAGTTTAAGTGAATTCCAACAAATGATAAACATCAGTGACATGTGCTGTCTAATAGTTTATAACGACCCCCAAATGCACCTCAAACATGACATCAGTGAAATTGGATTATGTTTTGCACTGAAAATAGTGCTTATATTATACTTTAGGTCTGGCATAGAAATAATCTTGAAAAACTATGACTAATTATTGAGAGTAGTTTGCAGTAAATGTAGTATGCTGTTATAATCATAATTTCCAACTTATGAAGTAGTATAGTATGGTGGATAACACTTATTCTTCCCAAAGTTTATTAAACTTGATTTTAGGCATCCAGAGAGATTTTGATGCATAATTTACCTGAAATCTTGCCTTAAATTTGTTACTTGAATAGCTAAATAATTTTGATAAATTGAAGACCATTATCCTACCTAAGCTGATTGGGGGATAGGTTACTGGCTGTAAGTCTTGGAATAGAATGTTGTGAATTTAGAAGTATGTACTTTAGAAATGTGATTGTAATCCTGGTTTTATCATCTGTCATTTTGTTCCTACTTTAGAATACTTGTATAAATTGTGAATGATGTTGAGGTGTTAAATTATGTGAATTACTTCCTCTTCAATAATGATAATAAAAATCATTTTACAGGAGATGAGACGGCGAAGGACGGAAGCTAATGTGGAGCTGCGCAAACAAAAAAAGGATGAACAGCTTTTAAAGAAAAGAAATGTTTCTTTTAGTGAAGATCCAACTAGCCCCCTTGGTGAACAAAACAAGGTACAGTTTATGTTGATTAAAATCTTAAAACTTGTGAAAAAGATAATGTATATATAAGAAACATTCCAAGAGGGATATCTTTGTATTTTTCAATGTTAATAATCAATTACTTTGCATTTTTTTATTGTTAACAATTAATGACAGTTGTCACAACAATCTGATGATGGAATTTTTGAAAGTGAAAGGGCTTTCTTTTCTTTGCAAGAGAAATTCCTTTATGTTTCTTTGTGCTGTACGGCTACTTATCTCGGGTAGATTTTGGGGGATTGTTCTTAATGGTGGTGACAAAGTAAGGTTGGCACTGAGTTGAAAGTAATGGTGAAGTTAAGGCCTAGGGATAGAACTGTATTTTTGAGCTGAGATAGACTACAGAGGACAAAGGTTTGGTCAAGGGTTGTGGTTTTCATTGTTTAATAAATAGATAAAACTGTTAACTTGCTTTTGTTTTCTATATATACCAAATATTCTCTGTGTTGGTTTTAGAACTGTAGAATCACATGATTTTCTTTATCTAGATCACTGAAAAGTATCTTTTGTGTTCTTCAATAAGACCATAAAGCTGAACTAATAACTGTTCTCTGTTAACACACTTCCTTATGTTTGAAGCTTCCAAAATGTGCGAGAAACAAGGTGTATGATATCAGGATTTATGAAGTATGAAATAACTCTATAACTGCAATGATTTCAGTTTTACACACTATGCATCAGGCACTACTGTCTAATGAATCTTGGTATCGAGCATACTGCTTCATTGGAGCTGATTATGACAGATATAGTATGTGTGTGTGTGTGTGTGTGTGTGTGTGTGTGTAAACAAATAACGGTTGACCTTAAATGTAAAAAATTAAAACTACAATTAGAGAATATGAACCTTAAGTAAGACACATACTAGCAAATTACTGTTAAGTAACCCATAGGGTATTCTAAAACATTTTACTTTCAACTCTGTTGTCTGATATCAGAACATCAAAAAGTAAATAAGAAGTCACAAGAAAACAAGTACTTAAAGTAATTTGTATCCCACAATGAATAAATTTTAACTGAAGAATCTTAAGAAACTGTAGTGTTTAGTTTAACAGTTTTGTTTCAACCGTAAAATTAAGAAGTTAAAACTGAACTGAAACATAAGGTTCTAAAAAGTTATTTGTTAGTCATGAAAAATATTTTGGGCAAAAACAAATTGGTAACTTTTCTAACTTTCATCTCTCTCTGGTAAATTGACATAAAGAAGAGTAGGAGAGGTATTATTTTTCAAATTTTCTAAACCTTAACATCTGTGGACATTAATGTTCTACAAACCGTAAGTGTTTTCTCTTTCTATTATACTTAGTTAAGAATTTTTATTCATCATTGAAAATTTTTTGTTGTTATAAATACTATAAAAGAACATTAACTATTTTTAGCTTGATGCTGTAGCTGTAATGTCCATGGAAGAAATTGTCCAAGGTATATCTAGTCAGGATGAGACTCTAAATTTTCAAGCAGCTCAGTCAGCGAGGAAAATTCTCTCTCGGGAACGAAATCCTCCTATTGATTCTCTTATCCAAGCAGGGGTTGTTCCAATTTTTGTCCGGTTTCTTTCTTGTGATTCAAAGTAAGTTGATTAAACAAAAATTATTGTTTCTAGTTTCATGCAATGGAGATATTAATTTTTTTGTAATTAATAACTGCAAAACAAACTCACTTTCCCTTTTTTTTTAAATTTCATAGATTTGTAAAACTGTAAATTTTTGTTTTGAAATGATTTGAGTATACTCTGAATGAGAAATGTATAAGAATTTCCTCATTTTTCTGTGCATGATATGACACCTAGTTAATTAATATTAACTTATGTTCAGAGCTAGCTACCTACTTGTACTAAAAATGAACTTGATAATAAGTATATTTAATTAAATACACTTTTATTATGTCCATAATAAGAAAGATTAGAATGCACTGTTTCATCAGTTTGGTATTCTCTTAATAATCCCAGTAATAACTTGTAAGTTTGGGCAAGCTTAGAAAATTTGTTAGCCCTATATACGCACGCACGCTAAGCTAAGCTAACTATGCAAAACAATCTCTATAACAAAAGTATAATAAGGAAAAAAAAAAAAAAAGACTAGAAATTTTAAACATTCTAACCGTACTGTTAATGGAAATAACTTTAACCCTATCACGACGAGTCATGTGTGAAAGGCCATGTTATTGCGTTACTTAATTTAATATTAAACAAATACAGTTGAACCTGGATTTTTTTTGTGTGTCATGTGGTATGTTGAATGCAGCACTTGTTCAGATTAGATGTTTGTGATGTCCAAATACAAAGTCTATAGTTTTGTACAAATTAGGAACTCAAACTACTGATATTGACAAGCTAGAATATAAAATAAGAACCTCTTATCTTTTCTATATGCTAAGATATTGCTTATTTAGTTAATCAAACACAGTGGCCCACCTCTTTGTATTTTTGGATATGCTCTCTCATATGCACAGCGTGGTCACAAAGTCATATTCACATGAATTGATATATTTATAATTTAATCAATATCTAGTAGATCTTCCTTTCGCTTCGTGAAGTTCATTGATCCTTTGGGGCATCGTGAGAATCATCTTGTCAGTTTTAGATTGTGGGATTTTAGCCCACTCTTACTTCAAAACTTGGAGTAGATCGCTCTTCGAAGTTGGTTTTTTTGGTTGTTTCTTGACTTGCCGGTCAAGTATGGCCCAGAGGTTTTCGATGGGGTTTATGTCAGGAGATTGGCTCGGCCAGAGCAACTTCTGGATACCATTTTCTTCCTGCCACTTTTGGGTGTTTCTAGCAGTGTGACACGGTGCTCCATCTTCCTGGAACAATGTTGTGTTCTTGTCCATGAAACCCGAGGAATAAAGTGGCAAGAGTCCTTCCTCCAATATTTCGACGTATTTTGCAAAATGTATGTTGCCAACGCACTCCACTAAGCTCGACCTCCCACCAACCCAAACCATCACGCTGAAACCACCATGCTTCACAGTTGGTTGCAATCTGTTGAGCCAAAATTCTTGGTGAGGCATTCTCCAGACCCATATCCTTCCACTGTCCGAAAATTGAGCGAATC